TTTCCCTGGTCTCTCCTCGTAATATCTCTGAACAGATCACGTACCCAAAGTAAAGGCTTCCTCACCAATAGTGTACCAACTTACTCATTTCATTCTAATACATTTCAAACAAGCCCTACACTATAAAAAGGTAGGTGGGAAAAGATGTGTTTTATAATAGAAATGTGTGTACTGACTTAGAGGCAGAGAGATGCTGAGCAACTGCAACTCCGCCACCCCCACCCCAGTATCAATGGCAATAACAAGATACAGCTTCAAATTATGGTATGACATTTAATCTACTTGAGAAATGGAGTTACATTTGAGTCAAAGATCTGTGGCCAAGAGGAGGTAACTGCAATCTATTATCTTGAGATCAGGCTTTTAACGTGCAAGAGCAGGATTTCCAAAAATGCTCCACCTTGGTCTAACTGTGCTCCCGCTGGAGTCAATGGGATCTTTGCCAGATTAAGAACCTGATAGTCTTTTGATTTTGGACAGTGTCTAAAGACACCCACACTACTCAGCATTCCCAGCAGATACGTTTGGGCAGTGGTTTTCAACCTTTTTTTCATTTGCAGACCCCTAAACAATGTTGAATGGAGGTACAGACCCCTCTGAATTGTAAGTGTGGGTATTCACACACTTTAGATGGATCATAGTCATCTTTCACAGACCCCTTAGACATAGTCTGCAGATCCCCAGGGGTCCGCGGACCACAGGTTGAAAACCACTGAGTTAGGGCATGAAATTGGCCATCAGGATAAATGCCCTTCCTAGCCACTAGATGTCCTTCAACGATCACAATAAAGCCAATAATAGGCTGCATAGAGATATGCTGAACATCAGATCCAATTTTACTGACAATTTTCCAGAATTTCATAGGAAACCTGTTGGAATATGCATTATCCCTTAGGCCAGCAACAGGAAGGACATCTGATACAGACCTCTAGCTTATGCAAAGTTTCACAAAGAGGCAGGACACATCCCTGACACAAAGGCCACTCCCTGACATATTTCAAGTCCCTGATCCAGCTCATGGAGGCAAAAGAGCTGTTCAAAGAAAAGATCGCTAGAATTATTGAACATGGTCGAGTCAACGTACTCTGCCCAAGCATCATCCTTGGAAAGAACCACATTGTTTTGACTGAGATTTAATGCAAAAAATATCAGCCCAAGACAGCATGGAAGAGTTCAACTCAGATGGTTCAAGGTCTGGCTATGGGAAATATTGAACTAACTTACTAAGCAGCAGTGCTGCCAGCCCTCTCTAAACATGGAACCGTTCCTAGGACAAGGGCCCAACCCACCGAGGGGTTCAAGTTAGCACAGTTTTAGCTTTAATCCTCCCTTCCTTACCTTGTAGGCCATAGAGCTGGCCAGTGCTGTGCTGCCGTGTAATGTGCTGCCAGTAGGCACTCCGAGGCAAGGGCACCATGGTGCTGAGAGACACAGCTCGCTCACTCATTTTCATTTGAAGCTATAAAATAAAAGAGCAAAAGGGACATCAAGGAGAGAGCATGACAGCAGCACTGCTGACAGTCCTCACAGACAGATCGTGTGGGAGGCAAAAGTTGTACAAAAACACTTGGTGGAATTGCTGCTTAATCACTTCTTCCTCTGCTCAGGCCCAAATTGTACCATTCTCTGCTGGCAACGGGACTCGGGAAGTTAGAGGAAGGCTGCATGGGGGGACACGGTGCAGGATGGGAGAGGGGTGTGCAAAGAGAGCCAAAAACCCTTGTGAGACGAGACTGGTTCTGCTTCAGGCTTAAGCCAGGCAGCTACAAGTGGGAATGGGAGAAAAGCAGAACACAAGGAAGCTCTGGCCCATTCCTCCTTTTCCAGGTAGCAGAACATCTCCCTACCCTGCGGGTTTGCCTTCCCTCCCACAGCACGAACCACACCTGAGAATCTGGTCCTCAGTCTTTGCGTCCTGGGTAGGGAAAGAAAAGCTGTTGTTCTTTGTGTATAGCTTTTTATTCTGCATCTCCTTGTCTATCTTGCAGATGGAGCAAATTTCTTTCCATATCATGTACAGCACAAGAGCTCATTGGCTAATAAATTCAATCCATCCTTTGTGCAGCTCCACTGAGTTAACTATGACAACACAAGGTGCACCAGTTCTAAAGCAAGTGGGACTAAACAATACCTTGGTAGAGAGTTAAAATTAATGGAGCCCTGAGGAAGGGGACTGAGATATATCGATCACAGCACAGTGCTGCACATTGCATGGAACGGTTCTTGGCAGAGTGAACTGGGCATTTGATGAGGAGGGAGTAAAATAGCTAATCCAGCTCTCCCTGGCAAAAGACTTTGATTTGACCTAGCAAACCTGACAAGATGCGTCATCCTCTAGTGCGATGCAAAACCAGCACACTAGAAACTAGTGTGTAGCATGGATTTGTGGTGTATGTATCTGTGGTACGATATGTCATACAAGGAATTAAAATAGCAGGCTGCCAGCTATCCCTATCCAAGCAGAGTGGTGAAGTAGAGATTGGGCTGGAATAGATCAGCAGAAATAATACTAAATGTGCTCTAGGAGAGTGTAAGGCTTTGGGAACCTTGGGTAAGTAATTCACCTGGCTAAGAGATTATTATTTATCTGGACTTTGTCTATCAAAGTTTTAAGTAAACCCGGGCAACTTTGGAGCATACATAGTGCGAGTTACTGAAGAAAGCCAGGGAAGTTATGGATTGCATCCCTACTTGGGTAAGCTGGTAAGCACGGTCTGCATTGCATTTAACTGGGGATCAGTTAGCCTGAAATTTGAACAAAATTCAGCCCCCTCTACATGTGCAGGTAAAGGTGCAATGGGATCTAATGTGCAATCCACACAATTGCTCATTAGCTACCGTTGTGCCTTACAGCCAGTGCAGGGGGCAACAAGCAAGCTCCCATGGCTGGCAGCCTCAGCTGTGAGGGGTTCCTAGACATAGGAGCACCCTATGCACCCCCCAGGGCTGTGACATCTCAGTAGCTGCAATCTTCCAGGCCTGGGGGTGCACCGAGCAGCTCCACACACCCGCAAGGCTGGGAGATTGCAGCTGTGCCTCATTGCTGCCAGGACCAGCTGGATCCGGGCACCTGGAGGCATGCAACTGAGGGACAGAGTTGTCCAGGACCCAGGGTTGGCAGCTTCAGGGGCTGAGAGTCCCCTTACTTACAGGACTCCCAGCCCTTGCTGGGCATGATGCACCTGCTACACCTGGAAATTAAAGCTCAATAGCAAATTAAAGCTTGACAGTTAGTACATAGTTTTAAGGTCTAATTTTATAGCTGGTTTGAGCTTTTTATGGAGTGATAAGTTCTTTGCACATGTAGCTGGTCTCAAGGGAATTGTGTAATACATGAAACAGAGGGGGCTTATGATTTGCAAAACACATTACAAAGACGCACATTAATTTTGCGCAACCCTATTCAGATAGGCTCTTCCTGCCCAGTTGTTCTGCCTAGCATCTATCATCTCTGTATTAATGCCATTCACCTGCTAGCTGAGGATTTTCAAGTTGTATTGGCACAGCTGCAGCATGACATTGTTTAAAGATTATCACACATGCATGCCAGGAGAAGGGCAGGACTTCAAAAGCCAGGAATTACAGTAGCATCATTTTGCCACAACCAATAGCTTCTTCCCACTTTGCTCTTCTAGAGACATGACAGCTAACAAAATTACTGTAGTCCTCTAATAAAAACTTTCTGATACCTACCACTTCTAAAATAAGAGGCATTAATTTAAGAAGCAGTTTTTGGGGCCCTCATATTCTATGCACTGATATTGTATCTGCAGTTGTAGGTCCACACCCATTTTGCATACGTAAACACAGTGACAGCACATCTAGTGCATAAGCCGTCGATAAGCCTGTGTTGTCACCCCTCTAGAAGTGTGCAAACTGAAGCACCAAAAGAGCAAGTGTGACATGGTTAAACCAGAGCAGCACAATGCATGACAGCAATCAAAATATCTAACTATAAAAATGCCTGTTCTCCCTCCATTTGCCCCCTCGGACAGTTAAAAGTTACATGTTCTGTTTATGAAAATAGAAACTATCTATGACATTTTACAGAAGCAGACTCCTTTCATTTCGTTTTGCAGACAAGAAGCAGGTAAGAACCCTTTGAGATATTAGTTTACTTCACAGCAAAGAGAACGGGTCAAGCAAGCACACAGAAGAGGCGGATCTGAGGGCTGGCTGGCTTCAAGGAGAAAAAGGAAGGCTTTGAAGTTTTTTTTTAGAAGCCATTTACCCTCAGCCTCCTCTCTGTAAGGTGTGGACATTGTGCCTGGGATCTGAAAGAACAAACAAATATCAAATCAACCACTGCTCTTTAAAACACCCACATCCAAGTTACTAATACTGAATCACTCTGCACGATACATGCTTCCACCTACGCAGTATATTTATTAAATGCAGTTCCTTCAATAAAGTATCAGCAGAAGTTGCACTGTTACCATACATTTCAGCACCATGGAAACAAACAAGGAATCTATTCCAGGAAAGGGAAAATTAATTGGGGCGCTGTGACTGATGTTTCCCAACTGCTCAAAATCCTTTCAGGGTACATCTTACAACCTTGTGGCAATCCCTGAGACCGCCACTGAAAAAAAAAATCCAAACAAGGCCCCCCGCCACTCCCTCCTGCTCTACACATGTGGCCTGCTGGAAAGCTGTTGTATGGCCAGCATTCAAACGACAACAGGCACATCCTGCATCGCTTTCATGAGCACGCCAGGAGACTGAGGGTCCCTAAGAACATCCCTGCACTAAAAAGGCATCACTTTTGGACAGGGATCTTGGAGTCCTAGTGGACTCCAAGATGAACATGAGTCGGCAGTGTGACGAAGCCATCAAAAAACTAATGGCACTTTATCGTGCATCAGCAGATGCATGACGAATAGGTCCAAGGAGGTGATACTTCCCCTCTATCGGGCGCTGGTCAGACCGCAGTTGGAGTACTGCGTGCAATTCTGGGCGCCACACTTCAAGAGGGATGCGGATAACCTGGAGAGGGTCCAGAGAAGGGCCACTCGTATGGTTAAGGGCCTGCAGACCAAGCCCTACGAGGAGAGACTAGAGAAACTGGATCTATTCAGCCTCCGCAAGAGAAGGTTGAGAGGCGACCTTGTGGCTGCCTATAAGTTCATCACGGGGGCACAGAAGGGAATTGGTGAGGATTTATTCACCAAGGCGCCCCCGGGGGGTACAAGCAATAATGGCCACAAGCTAGCAGAGAGCAGATTTAGATTGGACATTAGGAAGAACCTCTTCACAGTTAGAGTGGCCAAGGTCTGGAACGGGCTCCCAAGGGAGGTGGTGCTCTCCCCCCCTACCCTGGGGGTCTTCAATCTAGCTGGGGTCATCTGGGCCCAGCACTCTTTCCTGCTTATGCAGGGGGTCGGACTCAATGATCTATTGAGGTCCCTTCCGGCCCTAACATCTATGAATCTATGAAATGCCCTGTATAGCACAAGAGCAAGTGGGAGGGACTAGTTTCTCAGCACCAGTTTCAAAATCACCATGGAGGCAGACATACCTCAAGGCAAGTTAGGTCATAAAGTAGGGGAGGATGAGCAACAGTTCTACATTCCCGAAGGGTTTATCTGGAACTACAGAGAATCTCCAGCAGGCAAGGAATGGTCTTGAGAAAGATTTAACAAAAAAAGAAAGCAAGGGACCTGAAAGAATAAATTCTGAACAACAGACAGGTCAGAGAAATGGCCCTGGAAAGTGGAGCATCACCATGCTCAATGTATAAATGTCATCAATGCACCTGGAATTTCATGCAAATACTGTTTTGATGATGACTGATTTCATTCTCATAATAAATCTACTGTATCTCTGCGGCAACAGAAAGAGCAAGAATGACATGACAGCGGGCTGGCTTTATTCCATGTCAGCACTTAGCACTGGTAAGTAGGTCAAAAGCAGCAGAAAACAATATGCTGGCATGCACGTGCACGATTTTTACAACTTGGGCAGGAGGGGAGACAGCGACTCTGCACTGCATTAATGACTGGTGAATGACTGGTTTGTTAAGTGAAGGGTGTGACAGGGCCAAGGTGCCAGGGGTGGCCATGATGCCCCCTGGTGGCTGTATGGCTCCTGCCCAGCTTAAGCTCTAAGATAGCCCTCCCCTAATTACTCACCCTCCATACCTTCTTCTTAGTAAAAGGGAAAGAAGGCTGCCCACAGGCCTTAGAGCTAGTCTTAGTCCTTCAAATTGCTGTCTGGTCCCTCCAGGGCAACTGTGGCCTTCAGGGCCAATTGTGTGGCTCCGTGCCCCCTACACCACACCCCAAGACTTGCAGGTGTTATCACTTCTGATGTTCCCTTTTTGTCCTCCCCTCCTCTAGGCTGGGGGGACACTCTGTACCCTGCTCAGCCCCTCTGAACTACCTGAACTACCGGCTTTGCTGAGCATGCCTTAAGCCTGCCACCAATGATGCTCAAAGCTTGTGACTCAGGCAAAAGCAT